TGTGCGTCGTCTCGCGTTCCCGCATTTCGTTCTTCTGTCGTTCTCTTTGGTGTTACATGGGAGGTGGGGGAGGTTACTCTTGTACCACTGTATGCGAAAACCCGGGGAGGAGGGGGAGAGGTACAAATTTCACGGAGAGACCCACTTGCATAGTCGAGGTGGCGCCGCGCCCGCGCCCCCTGACAAGGTCCAGTTGTGGTGCTGAATAGGAATGAATGTGTACGAATTGCTAGGCCGAAACATTTCTTTTCATCCATTTTTTTTAAAATTAATTTCACATTTTTATTTAAAATGTATCATGATTAATATTTCCATGTGCGGTAATTCACTAAGCATATCTCCCATCAAGCACTCCTTTTTTTTTGATATGGCTCTGATATTCATTGGTTTTGATATGGCTTTTCCAGTTTTCTATCGTTTGACTAATTCTGGCACTGCGCCGTTCCCTCTGTCTTCAGTCTTGGCACCTCGCCTTTTTGCCTTCGTTTTGGCGCATTCGAGAACGCTCTTGGTTTCATGCTTTAGTCTGGTGCATTTTGCACCTCCTGCACCTCTGATTCGGCAGTTCCCACTTTCCGTGAGACTCTGTTTGATGGCGGCTGTGCCTGCCGTAAACTGATTTATAGAAGCCAGCCTCAATCCTGCGTTGGCTACTCGCAGAAGATGTCGGTGGATGGTAGAAGGGGTGCTGAATTCTCGGGCTGTTCCTGCTGTAACGAGCTCTGCGAGTCCAGTGGTCTACCCTGTGAGAGGCGCGAAATCCTGGAATGCCTGGCCACTCGGTGCTCCACCGAGTGGTGCTCAACCGGCGTTCGCTTGGGGCTCCGTCTGCGGTGGCCCCGATGCTCGCCTGTTCGCCTCTATGCTCGTGTTTAAAAAAGTGCCTCATATTCGTAAAGCTCATATGTGTTTCCGGGCATGTGCTTTCGCGTATTTCTTTAATTGAGGACATTGTCCAGTTGAGTGGCACGGGTGCGACACACTGCTCGAGAGGGCCTATCGCCACGATGAGATGACCACCGGGACTGGTCACTCAGGAAAACGAAGGGCGCGGTAGCAGGATCTCGCACTGGCATGTATACAAAATCATCTTGCGCTCGCAGGGGCTCATTTCGCGTGTACATTTCAAATGTTGCTTGTATGTAAGGCGTAGTACTGCTCTCGTCCCTCAGCGTCGAGGGTAATGCCCTCTTTCTACAATTCGCTCATTAATTTTGGTGGCATTTTGGTACTGATGCGTAATAATAAATCGAACCAAACTACCATTAGGTTGCTTGTATGCAGCCTTCTGAAAGAGGGAGTCATTGACAGCCTTGTCAGCGTATGGTTGCTTTTGGCTCTTGCATGCCTCCGTATCACAGAGGGTGCTTTTGCAATTTTGCAAAAATATAGTACACAGAAACATGCAAGTATATGAATATAGGAGTATCAAGAAAGCGTGAAAATTGAGCTGGACGGTGACCGCGGACCTTCGACTGGGCTATCGACGGTCATTTTTCGGCGATTTTTTGAGAGCCCTGCAGGGTGAGGTAGCTATGTGCATTGTATGGTAGAAGTGCATGACCATCGCGCTTCGGCCATCCGCGCCTTTGGGACTAACGGCTCTGTTGCTCTCCTCCTCGTTTCCCCACATCGCATGCCCGTACGGGTTTTCTACGCAAGTAGTTGATCGCTGGTTTCCTTATGGGTAATACTTGCACACTTTTTCAATAAGGTGATGGAATATCTGCTTATTAAGAGTTGCGTTTCGTATCTGGGAACCTTGAAAATTGATAAATATACGTGCACATCACGGTGTCCTGTGTTCCTCAGAAATTAGCCATATGATCAATGAAAATCCGAATGACGTGCGGGGTGGAGGGGAGGAGGGAGGAGAAATCTGAATTTGTACGGCAACTTGTTTATTGCTTGTTGAAACCACATTCTCGTTTTTAATGGTGACCAGTATGGGCACATAGCTTGGTGCGGACACCACCGGACATTGCGGAGGGCTTCTTGGCCGAGCACAGATGCAGAATTCGTCGCATAGCTCGTAAAAATTGCCGTCTTTTTGCTTACGTTTCCCTCCCTGGTTTGCAATTTTGACGAGTCGCGGTGAGCGAAGATTGACGTGACCTGCCAAGGAGAACTTTGCAGCGACACTTCACTGATAACAAATGCAGTACTCGGAGTGTCGAGTTTGCGCGTAACGATCCTCGCTCATTTTATGCCTGACTTAACCGAGCATATATATTATGCGTGTGTGCAAATCGACTTCGCAAAAACAATATTTAAAAGAAACCCAGGCTGGAACGCACGGGGCGAGCCCGTGCGATCATGCGTTTTTGCACC